CCCCAAAACCCCAAAACCCCAAAACCCCAAAACCCCAAGAACTGGATTTATATAGAAATAAAATAAATATGAGTACCAAAAAGAACTTGGAATTACTCGCTCCGTGCTTCGGTGAAGCATTTGTAGAAGATTTCTTCTTCTCCAGCATGTTCAGTACCTCCATGAATTATGAAGACACCACATGACTCCGTCAGGAGAAGGATTACGTTCACGTTGAATTTATAGAAGAGGATTTAATAAAGTCTAAATTTTGAGCAGTCAAAAATCAGAAGGATGGTACAACAACCCCTTCATCTAATACTAACCGCTCTTCAGTCAAGAAGACCTGGGGATGGTCTGAAGTAAAATACCAGGCTGAAGAGAATGAACCAGTCACTCCGTTTGCTAAATAAGAGCAAAAGAATACTCAACATGGTCGATCTAGCTCAAAATATAGGTGTCGATCCACTAGATGGTGACGATTATGACATATATTCCTTCGTAGAGCCTTGTAACCTGTTTTCATTAATGAATCCAAGAGAGAAATATGATAAAAAGAGACCTCCTCCAACTTATATTAACTTCTATGACTATGAGAATATGGCTAAGAACTCAGCCCATCATCCCATGAGCGGGCTTAAAATTCGGGAAAATATGAACAGAGTAGAATGCGTCAATGAGAAGATAATCGACGACAATAAAGGCTTGAAAAAGTACCTTGTGAAAGAACTTGCCAAAAGTATTTTTAAAGGGAGCACTAATGTTTCTTTACCTGCATACGCTTTTGACCCGATCTCAAATTTAAGTGCTTTTATTAACAACTTAAGAACTGCACCTTATTTTTTAGAGAAAGCATTGCATGTGTCTCCAAAGACCGATCCGGAAGAGAGGATAAAACTAATTTCTGCAATGTGAGTGTCTAGCTTACACCAAAATATCAGCTTTAAAAGAGGATTTAACCCCATAATCGGTGAAACTTATCAAGGTTACTTTTGATACAACAATCCTGATGTTGACGAAGGCTCCAATCCAGCTGTTATCACCAGAAGCTCTAGTCAATTAAAGGCTATCAAGACCAGAAGAATCAGACAAACTTCGCAGCCAACTAATTTAAAAAGCAAGTTTATAAACATTTTCGCTGAACAAATTAGCCATCATCCTCCGATCTCTTGCTTCCAAGTTGAGCACTCTGATCGAGATTTTATTATCTACGGTGACCTTGAAGAAGACTTCAAACGGAACGGCTCCAATCTAGAGTTTAGGCTAAAAGGATCCACAATTATTGAATTTAGTGACGGAGATTATTATTCCATTACCTGGCCTGCTAAAATCCTTGAAAATAGTGTGTACATGAAATACGAAGAATTCATAAGAATTGAACAATGCACCGGGACTAACCTCACTTCAATGATCTTCCTTGGTGATTCTCAAGAAGGCGATCCATTACCTTTAAATGGTGTTATTTATTATAGAAACCCTGATTTTGACTTCAACCCAGAAGCTACGCATCAGGACGAACTTGAAGATTTGGAAGAGTATTGCTGAAATATCCAAGGTTCTTGGATCAAAGCGCTGATTATTGATGATAAAAAGTATTGGAACATTAAGATGAACATCATCTCTCCTCAATTGCCTGTAAGCAATCCCCTACCATCAGATGCAAGGTATAGAGAGGATCTTATCTGGCTTTACAAGGAAGAACTTGACTTTGCGCAAAAATGGAAGTTAGCCTTGGAAAACATCCAAAGGAAGGATGCTACTTTAAGGAAGAAAAAGAAAAGATAGGCATATCGCCCAACCCATTTTATCGAGAATATAATAATTAACAATTTCATTCTGGCTATTAAAGCGTGGGGTTTTGGGGTTTTGGGGTTTTGGGGTTTTGGGG